TCGTCGGAGAGGCTTATGCCGATGGGAGCGCCGGTTGGGTACCGGGACGCGATGTCGGGAACGCGGTTCTTGACTCCGGGGAGATAGCTGATGTCGAATCTGAACCGGAGGGTCTTTTCCTTGAGATTACGGAGACGGGCGTTGGGCAGGTCGACCAGTGATCGGTCCCCGAAAATCTTCACGAGGGGTTTGTGGTCAACAACGACCGTGAGGTCGCTGCAGCCGAGCACGAAGAAGCGCGTTTTCTCGAGGGCGTCGGCCACTGCCAGCGCCTCGCCCTCGACCGGGGCGTACCGAGATTCAGCGCCGGATGTAAAGCGGCTTCCCACCAGCGTGGTCTTCCAGCCCTCAGCGCAGCAGAGTGGTGACCGACCGGCGCATGTGCAGTATTTCTGGAGTAACCAGAAACCGATACCAGTACGGGACCAGTCGGTGGCCAGGACGGTTGGGCGATCTGTCTCGAAGATCTGGACACCCTTCGTGACCTCCTCGACGATGGTCCGTTTCGACATGTCGAACAGTGCCTGGAGTTCATCCGTCCACGTGAACTTGCCGGGCTTCAGGAGTTCCCGGAACGGCAGCATGGCATCCGCCATGGCGAATGCGTAGGCGACGTGATTGACGACCCCGAACCACGCGCGGACGTCTGTCAGGTTCCTGGGAGTGGGGAACTCGGTGATGCTCTGAAGGAAGGCATGAGACGGGCGGACTGTGTCAGGCGTGATTTCAAACCCAGCGAATTCCGCTGTCTTCTGGGCGAAGACAAACTTCTCGCTGTTCAGCGTGATGCCGGAACGGCCACACATGTCCAGCCATTCCACAGTGCGCCAGAACACCTCCTCGATGCTGTCTCCCCAGAGAAGGGTGTCGTCGATGCATTTCGTGTAGCAGTCGTGTGACAGATTTGCCGCCATCACGATCTCGTCATAGCGGCGCGTGTACCCGTCACCGCTGGAGATGTAGCCCTGGGGTGCCGCGCAGTAACGGTATCGGCCCCAGGGGGTCAGGAAAGTGGTGAGGTGTCGATCTTCCTCGTGTAGGGGCACCGAATGGTAGCCATTCCAGGCGTCCAGTATCGTCTTGTAGGTCGACCTCGGCACAGACCGGGCTTGGTGGAAGGGACTTGGGGTATGATGCGTCTCTCTTGCGGCGCAGCGGTTCAGGGGCTGAAGGTCGACGCAACGGCGAGGGCTTCCCGACTTCTTGGAGACGACGACCATCCGGTGGCACCAGGTCACCGGCTCACCAATCGGTACGGGCTCGATGACCCCCAGCTGCACGTCGCGATCCAGGGCGGCCTTGACCTCCGTCTGCCAGTGCAGTGGTACTGGGATAGCCTTGTGGTGGGCCACTGGCTCGGCGTCAGGTCTGAGCATGATGCGCAGGGGTGGACCGTCCATCGGCGTGAGTGGCTGATGTTCACAGGTGTTGAACGTGCTCGCAGAGTAATAGTCGGCCAGCCACTGACGCAGGGCGTCGACGTTGCTCTCCGTTGCCGGCATAGGTAGCTCTGTTGGCTTAGGCGGAGGCGTCTGACGGCGAGGACAGGAACATGCGTTGTACTCGTCGATGCCGATCCCATCCGCGGAGATAGACGCGAGCCCGACAGCGGGGAAAGCGGCGTCGATCATGCCGAGGTCACGACAGGCATCTCGACTGAGGTACATGGTGTCGCAGTTCGGCGTGATGTACACGAACTGTCGAGTCTCCCGCCGAATGCCGTCGCGGTGGCCGGATATACGTAGGATCAACGCTCCGCGGATGTCGATGGGATCGCCGTTTGCTGCGTGCATCCTCAGGGACGTCGGGACGAGGTCAGCCTCCGTGACGCCAAGGCGTCGCATGAGAGAGATGCCCGCCAGACAGCTCTGACAGCCTGTGTCGGCGATGACTTCCTGAGTGATGGTGGCCTGGCTGACCGTGCACTGGAGGCCCAGGGCGCCGTAATCGGCCGGTTGGAGCGAGAGGTCCAGTTTAATCGACGGCTGGGGCTGACTGGGTTGCTGACACCAGCTCTGGGTGATGTCGTCGTACATGTGGTGCCGCATGGCTGCGGCGGTGCATGAAGCTACCGTGTCGTGCGTTGAGTCTCTGAGGCTACAGAGAGCGTCACTGGGAGCGTCATCATCGCCCTCCGGATGTGTAGTCGCGATACCGGCTGCCTGTCGCTGCAGGCAGGCCTCGGTGAAGTGGCCCCGGCGTCTGCAATGACGGCACTGGCTGCGGTAGGCGGGACAGGATTTAGCGCGAACCGCGACAGAGGCTTTTACGCCATGACCTGTCCGACGACAATATTGGCAGACGTCGGCCGGTCCTGCGACTGAACTCTGTTGACGGCCAGCATCGCCAGCTGATACTCGCCGCTCCTGCTCGCCGATGCTCGCTTTCGCTCGCCGGTACTGGCTGCGGGCGGCGGCCACACCTTGAGACTGACCCAGCGTCTGAGCGGATCGCTTACCAGCCTCTTTTGCTTCGACGAAACGAATGGTCTCTTCCAGGGAGATCGGTGTCTGGCCTTGGGCGAGGAGGTCCAGTTGAATATCCCTGTCCGCTAGCCCCCTGGCGAGCGTATCGCGTGTGACTTCATCCTGGTAGCTGACGACCCGTCCGCATTCGCAGGTGACGTGAAACTTACAGACAGCCGCCTGCCCGCGAAGACGAGCGGCGAACGCCCTGACCGGCTCTTCGTGTTCCTGCGTCATGTTGTGGAGCTGGACGCGAGCCACTGCGAGGTTTTCCTCGCGAACGGCGAGACTTCGCATTGCGGCCAAGACAGTCTGTTCGTCCTTGGATGAGAGGGAGCCCCCCGAGAATCTGGTGAGGTCCCTGCGGAGGCCTTCGTCGCAGCATTCAAGCAGCTGGATGACGCAGTCTGTATCGGTGAGTCCGGTGGCTTTCTTGTACTCCGTCCATCGGCTGGTGAAATACTCCCAGTCCTCGCTGGATCCGGCAGCTGTCACGCGCGGTCTGGTGACCTTTTCGGCAGTAATGCTCACTGTAGGCCGGGTATGGGCCTCGGACTGGTGCATTTGAAGAAGTTGTACGACCACGACAGGTGCGGTATCTGCAGCGACGACGTATTCACAGCCGCTGAATGGGCAGGCTGTTGCCATGGTTCGAGGCTCGGGTTTCGACGTTATGCTTGATTGCAAATTAAGATATGTCCAACATAGATAGGCATGCGCGCCATTTCGATATTCTGTATTCGGAATTCAGTGAATGTTGGACATATCTAGTCCTGCGGACGAGACAGAAACAATGTTACAGAGGGAAGGCACTGCATACATGTCTAAACATCATTATGTAGTCAACTGTAGGACATGATACGAATTACGAACGGGTTATGGGGAGGCGGAGAACGTTCACACTTGCCAGGGGGATCCAGGGCGTCGCAAGTCCATCTACGACACGTCGCAAGTTACGACACATGTCCCGTCGCAAGTTATGTCGTAGCGAAAAAAGAGGGATGTTGATGAAAGAGGGGTTTGTCGGAGGATACGACAGAACGTAGCTACGAGTTACGACGAGGCTTACATACCCGCGTTACTCGAGAATTACACGCTACACGATCAGCTGATCACGTAGTTAACGTCAGTAAGGTCGAAAACTCTATTACGCATAAAGGAACACTCGCCTTTCTGGTTTGCGAGCTTATGAGACAGCCAGGTCAAGCATGTTCTCTGATTCTGAAGCTTTGTCTCAACTGGGTGACTTGTGGTTGCTAACGCTCACGTGAGTTGCCATGATTTTTGGGATCGATCACAAGGAATTCGTGGCTAAAGAGCATCTAGAAGCGATGTTTTAGAAGAAAGGAGTTCAGAGAGTTTTATGTCACAGAGATTTTCCATAACACGAGTGACTGAGGGGGGAGAGGCTCTCCAGAGCCCCCCCCTCCTATCTCCGAAACTACTGGGCCGATCGTCAAAATTCAAACGGCATCTGATAGCCCTGGACAAACTGTCGAGCTCGAGCGAACCCTATTTTCATTGCCCTGGAGGTCACTGATGACGTCACAGGTCAGGCCAGAGTAAAAATCATCAGCATTTCTGCTTGTTCACCAATTAGGCTCTGACCGCCGGCTGACAAGTCCAATAAGGCTCATTTTTTGTTTATGCACTCCTTGATATATGCCCTAGATACTGTGAAGGTATCGAACCTTTACTTCGAATTTTTTTTTTCAGGCCAAGACCAGGTCATCCCCATTCATATATGCCTTAGATACCCTGAAGGTACCGAACCTTTACTTCGAATTTTTCAGGTCAAGGCCAGGTCATCCCCATTCATGTGCGGACTAAAGACCTCGGTTTCATTTTTCTTTCCCAGAGCCGCTCAGTAATATGTAATATGTAGGTGTAGGTATTCTGAACCGCGGGACATCACTTTTATGCCAATTTATTAACTTTTTTGAAGCTGGGAGGGTCACTTTAACCAAACCAAGTCCCGAGCATTGAAGCTCTACTTCTATGTTGTGCTCGTAAGTAAAGGTGGGCGCTCTACCCAGCTGAAGCTGCCACACAGTCCGATGGTTGGCTATTCCCCCAGCGTAAGTACAATCCCCCAGGGCCCTTAGGTCGTGGGTCAGCGTGGGCTGAGCCCGACAGTATATAAGTCTATGTAGTTGGCCTGAAAAAAGACTGCGCCATCGCGTTTGCGGAATCGGAAGATGAGCGCACCGTCAGCCTTAAATTTAAAATCCGATTTGTGTTTAGTGTCTCCTGGTGTCTGAGTTGTGGTGGCGAGCTAGTCCAGGAGCTCATTGCCATTGAGGCGTTCGGAATTCTATCGGACTTCATTGCCTGCTTTTGATGTATGCTTATTGATTGGGTGCCAGTGTCAGTAGGCTGTCCGCTGGGGCCGCCATGAGCGCGCTGGCGGCGGGCCAGCACAGCCGAGTGGCCCGGCCCGCCGGCACCGCCTGTCGATGCCGCCCCGCTGGTCGATAGGAGGGCGCACGCGCCACCGCCGCCGGAGCACTCCTCATCGGCGGCGGCCAGCATCGATTTTGGTCGGGTCGGCCGGTGACGGGCGGCGGAGGGAGCGCCGGGACTGCGTGACGCCTGCCGCCGCTGACCGGGATGTGGCCGCGGTGACCGCACAGACAGCCGCTCTGCAGTGCACTCGGCAGCCGTCGCCATGCAGGACGCCCACTACGCGGCGTACGCGGAGCCGGCGGAGGAGCCGCCGCGCCAGCCGCTGCGCCCGGCGCCCGCCGGCGCCCGGCCGTTCGTCGATGTCGACGCCAGCGGCGCCGTGGACCCGAACGCCTACCCGGAGCCCAAGGAAAGCACCCACAAGGTGCGCGGCCGCTCGGACGTGCTTCACATGCTGTTTGACACGGCCAACCAGGACCTGGTCATCTCCAAGGCGTTCTACTTCTGCTTCTACAGCGCGTTCGGCTCGCTGTTTCCGCTGATGGCCGTCTACTTCAAGCAGATGGGTATGAACGCCGGCCAGTGCGGCATTCTGATCGGCGTGCGGCCCATCGTCGAGTTCCTCTCGACGCCCTTCTGGGCCGGTCTGGCCGAAAGGTGAGCGAGCGGCGACACTGGCTCCCACTGGCGGCTTCGGCCCCGGCTGACCGCACTGAGCTCAGCTGCCCCGGCCGAACACAACTGTCCCAACGCACTGAGCTCAGCTGCCCCGGCCGAACACAACTGTCCCAACTGTACCCGACTGACCGCACTGAGCTCAGCTGCCCCGGCCGAACACAACTGTCCCAACGCACTGAGCTCAGCTGCCCCGGCCGAACACAACTGTCCCAACTGTACCCGGGTGACCGCACTGAGCTCAGCTGCCCCGGCCGAACACAACTGTCCCAACGCACTGAGCTCAGCTGCCCCGGCCGAACACAACTGTCCCAACTGTACCCGACTGACCGCACTGAGCTCAGCTGCCCCGGCCGAACACAACTGTCCCAACGCACTGAGCTCAGCTGCCCCGGCCGAACACAACTGTCCCAACTGTACCCGACTGACCGCACTGAGCTCAGCTGCCCCGGCCGAACACAACTGTCCCAACGCACTGAGCTCAGCTGCCCCGGCCGAACACAACTGTCCCAACTGTACCCGGCTGACCGCACTGAGCTCAGCTGCCCCGGCCGAACACAACTGTCCCAACGCACTGAGCTCAGCTGCCCCGGCCGAACACAACTGTCCCAACTGTACCCGGCTGACCGCACTGAGCTCAGCTGCCCCGGCCGAACACAACTGTCCCAACTGTACCCGGCTGACCGCCAGTGGCGCGGGAACCGGGGGGGGGGGGGGGCTAGTGGGGGCTGAGCCCTTCCAGCTTTTCGGCTGGGGGGGGGGCTCGTAATGTATTTGAGCCCCCCCCCCCTCAGCTGGAGGAATCGAAATCGGAAATCTACCAACATAATTTCATAGATTCATACAAAGGCGCGGGAACCGGGGGAGGGGCAGTGGGGGGGGAAGCTTGCCCCACAACTCTGACAACTTTTCATGAGGTCAGGAACCGTTGGGCAGCTTGTCCTCCCCAAATTAGGGGTAATGGGTCCCAATATAACGGAAGAAAGCATGTAAGTAAAAATCCACCTCTTTCACTGTCTCGGTAACTAATTTGGCAGATAAAAACCTTTATTCCAGGTTGCCAAAACGGTAGTTTCTTCACTCAGCTGAGACGGAATACCTCACTTTTTTTGCAAATATTTTCGTTTTTTTTTTCGTTGAAAAGGCCAAGGTCTGAAAAATATGTGGCCTAAAACCGGTGAGAAAACTAGATTTGGGGGTACTTTAGGCTGATCTCTATTATGGTTCAGCCCCCCTCCCAGTCTGGAAGAAGTTCCCGCGCCACTGCTGACCGCACTGAGCTCAGCTGTCCCGGCCGAATCCAGCTATTCCTAATGGGCGCGGCTGGCCGCACTGGACAAGTCAACGAAGGCCTTTGTAATGGACCAAGCCATCTCCACTAGACGCTGATATTTCCACTATTCTGTTATCAGACCTAACTAACAAGACCGACGTCAGACGCACAATTTGGCCAGCTACCGGGGGCGCTGGGGTTGAATTTACTCAGCATTCACTGCTACCAAACCACCAAACCCACTGACCTAACCCATCATGATTGTCACCGAATCAGCTGTCACCATCACCAAACCCAGTCTGTCACGGAACCCACCTGCGTGCGGGCACGCACCGGGGCACCGTGCCCCCTTGATTCTTGAAATGGGGGCACCAATAGCAAAGTGCTTCACTTAAGTCTTGTACAATAACAGTCAGAGGTTTGCTCACGATGTACGAACAGGGGTCGGGGGGGGGGGGGTCTTGGAGAAGGGTCAATAGGTATCAGTGTCTCAACTTGAAGAAAGAGTGGGCACTTATTAGTGAGTGTCCCACCTCTTTTGAAGAACCCACTTGAAGAAAAGGGGGTCACTCATGGTGAGTGCCACCCCACTTTCCCATGATTTTGCAGCCTTTATAATCTTTTAGTTGAAACTGAGATAAAAGTAAGGATACTGAGATTGTGCAAATTCTAGCTTATGGATTCTTACGGGTCACACCAGCGTGGAATTTCTCCCGACATTCTAAGCCGCATATGGCGATAGCTCGTCCGACGTCCTTTGAAGCATAAGAAGGGGGGCGGGAGCACCTTACCAAACAAACAATACACAATTTGTTTACGATCACCAACCTTCAATAGGGCTAATTTACTATTTTGATATTCTTATGATCGTTATAACTTGGGTCCATTCGGTCTCCTGAGAGTTTTCAGATCCGCCAAAGAAAAGCGGATGGAGGCCAGACATTGGACATAATATCGAACACCGACTGACGTTTAAAAGGGACGAAGTCGATCCGTTTGAGAAAGAAGCGTCCCGGTGCAGGCCGGGCTCTCAATGAAAGCCTCGACACTGAGAAGCATATTTCTTCGTGCCGAGCGTTTAGATTATTCTTTCGGGTAGGCCTGTTCATTTTTTTAGAAGTTTTGTTTTCGGTCAAATAAGAATATCACGTTGTTTGTTGTTTCCATCGTTTGAGAGAATAGTCCTCGCTTTTATTGGAGGGTCGGATAGACCCACCCCTCGGTTTCTCGACAATAACTCGCGTAAGAAGTGGCCGATCGTGGCGAAACTTTTAGTATTCTCGAGGCAATCAACTTTACAAATCCATTAAAAATGGCGTGACCCTGACCTCCATGACGCTGGCCCCCATGACCCTGACCCCATGACCCTTGATTTGTGGCCTGTGTCGAGATCAAGTGAAGATTAGGTTAAGGTCATTGACCTAAGATGACCTTGATTCACTTTTCCGAGCCAATCATGTTACTAGGGTACTTTTTGGAGATAATGTCGAATTTGGCAACCATTTGAACATTTGTAGTTTTGGTGGTAGGTAATGAAGCTTGCTACGAAGCTGTCAATGGTGGTTGCCACCCACTTTGGCTAGCCGGCGGGACACCTACAGGTCAACCTGACCTGACCTGACTTAGGTACCCCAAATGCTTAACCCTCGCCCTGCTGGGGCGGGGGGGGGCAATTTGGCCCCCTTGTGGTTGTTCCTGAATAGCAAGAAAACGGCGGCGCGCAGCGCGCCAAATTTTCAGTACCTTCCCGGACATCAATTTGACACCTTCACACAAAATTTCAAGTCTTAGGTCACCTTAGGTCAGGAGTTATTGAGGTCAAACTGAGGTCATGTTCGAGCAAAAAGCAAAAACATGAAATCTTGAAACGGTCACAAAACTACAGTTACCAAGCAATTTCAAAGTTCTTTATATGGCCATGTAGACAAAAGACGGCGCTACAAAACTGCTATCTCGGATTTTCAAAATTTTGGGATTTTGACCCTCAAAAATAAAATAAATGATTTTTTTTAAACGCAAAAAATCCCAAAAGGTTTCCGAATTTCGAAAAAACGGAATATATGAGATACCTAGCCCCTGCGCTTTTCTAAATACATACCAAATTTTAGATCGATACCTTCTTTTTTTGGCCAAGTTATAGAGAAAAAAAACTGTTCAAAATCGATGACGTCAAATTTTTGAACTCAATTTCTAGCAATTCTAGACTACGTAGCGCAAAACAAACACCACCATTGAACTACCCGTGACGAGCTGCATCGAATCGATACCTATTTTATGCAAAAATATCAACTTTGAAATTTGACCTAATTTGACCAGACATTGAGCTGACCTTGACCTGACCTTCACCAGAACATAATGTAAATTGACCCCAAAGGCTATCTAACCCACATAATCGCATTCGGCATATAAAATGGACCATAAAACATGCATCACATGATATTTTCATATTGTGACCCTCAGTGACCTGACCTCTGTGACCTGACCTGGTAGCAGTGACCTCAAATAGCACAATATGTGTTTGACGAACATTTCCCCATCGATGATCTTCAATGAAATGCATTTTACTCGATTTTACAACGCATTTCTTGAAATTCCTGTAAACGGTGAAAATTCGACATTTGACCTGAGCTGTGACGTCATCGATTTGACCTAGGTCAATGAAATTGGGTCACAAGGTAGTTTCCTGTTAGGGCTATCCATCACCGTTTGCCGCTTGTCGCTATGTTGCGTGGTTCTCGAGATCTTAGGGGGGGGGGGGCAAATTGACCCCCAACAGTTGCTCGGCAGACCCCCAACGGGGCGCGGGTTAAAGGGAATTAAAATTCAGCGCAAAACTTTGAGCTGTTTAGCATTAAAATTGGGTGTTTCTTTTTCGAAAGTTTCTTTTTATATCTGGTGAGGCAAAGTGAGGGGATACAAGCTATTACAAAAGTATCGGTTGAGTGGGCTACCATTTCTCTTTGTTTATTCTTTTTCTTGTAAATAATATTCAGTGTGTCAGGACAGTGACGAAAAATAAGTGGCCTAGATCCGAGTAGAAAACAGGATTTGGGGGTACCCTAGGTTTGAACCCTCGAGCCGGTGACCCCCTTGTCTCAAATCGTTCCGCCGCCTATGCTGACTATCACGTGATCAACTGTGACTGTCACCTACTCCACTGTGGTTTTAATCCGCTGAGTGTCACTCAGTCCTATGTGACTGTCACGAACCAACTAACTGTCACCTAATCCACCGTCAGCTGTCACTCATTAGGTTCTACCGATTGGGTCGCCCAGCCCAATGGGGCTCCGGCTGTCACATTGCCGAGTGGGGGACTGTGCCACCGAACCGCGGGAACCTCGTAACCCACTGGTGACGGGGCACCACTCACCAAACTCACGTTTGGTGAGTGTCATCACTCTCCAAACTCACCGGGACCGTGGCACCTAGCCCACTGAGTGTGACCCCAGCACCTAATCCACTGAGTGTGACCCCAGCACCTAACCCACTGAGTATGACCCCAACGCCTAACCTACTGCGACCGTGACATCTAATCCGCTGGGAACTTGGCACCTTATCCAATGTGCCGTGCTCGTGCACCAAACTCACCTGACCTGGCCTCTGTCACCAAACTCACCAAGTTGGATTACCTACATAAAGCTAGCCTCTTGGCGATCGATTTGATAATGTGTCATACCATACACATTACCAGCATGCTTGCTTAGGTACT